ACTTACAAGAAAACGTTTGACCTCTGTCATTGCCAACAAAGGGTATATAACACAGTATTGAGATGTAATTTTTTTTATTAATCAAATACTTATTTTCCACCATAATTTGCAAATAAAGTCTTTAAAAATCAGACAATGTGATTTTCTGGATTTCTTTTTCTCATTTTGTCTCTCATAGTTGAGGTATACCTAGGATGAACATTACAGGCCTCTTTCATCTTTTTAAGTGGGAGAACTTGCACAATTGGTTGCTGACTAAATACTTTTTTTCCCCACTGACATGCATATTTACATTTAGTATACATACTCTATGTTGCTCTTATCCTGGATAAAGTGTTTAAGTCATGGATGTTTAAAGTTTAACGTCTTCATATTTGTCTAATATTATAGTTGACTTTTCATATTCAGGAAGTATGACGCGCTGCGCTGTCAGTATGCTTGTCCATGTTTGTGATTGGTCGAAAGCTCCAAATACCACCCCTTTCAGCTGAACGCGCACCCAACTAGATAGGGCAAAGCTGGCTTGAGCGATCGAGTTGATAGCCAGCGTCGTAGGACAGCTTAGCGAGAACGCGTTTGTTTTGGATTATGTAAACCGGGTAACTCAAACATATCCAGGTTAGGTTAAACCGGCTTCGTAGTACAGGCCTCTGGTGTTTGAGCTATTGTTTCTTTAAATATACAACCTACTGTAGAAAGTAAAAATAGTAGCACATTACAACATGTTAAAAAAACACTGTGCATGTAAGATAAGGTGAGATTGCGCTTCTTTTTTTATTTATGTCGATATGGCATTCAAATATATAAGGGACAGTAAACCAAATCTTTCCGAGTAAAACAAAATAAATGTACACATCTTACATTATAACACTAGGCAATAGTACCAACGAAGGGCTACTAATAAAGCTGCTGATACCAATATCTTAAATGGGATTTTTTAGTATCCTTTGCTCGTCCTTACTGGTGCAAGAAGTACATAAATATTTTTGTTATCTAAAAGTAGCAATACAAAATTGTAAAAAGTTCTCCGTTACCAGTAAAAGTCTTGATATGAATTCAAAATCTAAAGTACTTGTTATGCTTAATGCCCCATTTCAGGATCACAAATTTCTTTTGATGAAATTGTGTCTATAACAGCTCGTAAAGTTGCAATTTTTTTCTCCAGGGTGACAGCCCATTTGAATGATGTGAACCAATTGAAGTCTCCAAAAGACAACTGATGAAGAACCCTGGAGTTAAACCGCTATCACCACCCGTAAATGCTGCATTTGAGTGGTGTATTGCAGTCATTCAGGATTTGTCTGAATAAAGAGTCTCATCTTGTATCAAGGTTTGTTCACACCATATGGATTTGTCCCTTTGTCACTCATTATCTGTCACATTTGGTTAATGTTATCTACAGGACCCAAATCACCATTTGAGCCTTTCACGAGGACAAAGTGGTTGTATTATTCATTTACAGATTTAATGTTTTTTTATATTTTGTGTGAAAAAAAAAAAGATTGAAAAAGACAACTTGTTTCTTGTTTTCTTTTATTTAGAACAACACAAATGTTTTAAGCATTGTATCTGAGTGATATAGTACATTTAAAATAAAATTATTTTCAAAACAGTATATTCAAACATTAAATATAGGTGACATGTATGAAGGGCGTCGTCAGCACCGGCTGTGCTTTAAGTCTTTTTTTTCTTAACCACCTTCAGTTTTAATTTTTGTAATAAAAACAATGCAGTTAACTGAAATACTAATTTTTTTAAAAACCACTTTCTATGCATTACAAGTTTGTAGACATTTTCTTTTTGTTCTTGTAGAGTAGCTCATCTTTCCTTTCGGGATTCGTGGAAAAGTGAGCTTTCAGATGTCGTCATTTTCAGTGGGAATATTCATCTCACTCACACTGTGGCCTGGAAACAGAGACTGTGGGCTTGGACATGTTGCAATACAACAAACATGATTTTAAGCATCTTTTAAAGAGTGAAATTGATACAGAAGAGAGGTGCTCCCAAATTTTGACAAAAACGGAAACCATGAAAAATCTGAGGTAAAGGTTGTCTTGGATTCCACACTACATTACTGCATAAAACAAAATAGTGTGTCCGTTTGGAAGTTTATTTCCAAAAAATGAACCATGTAAAAACAACAAAAGGTAACAATATCCAAATAATTAAAAAAATCTTCTGTCCAAACATGTACAATATCTCTCCATCATTGACCAATGATTTACTTTTAGCCAGTATTTCGACTAAAAGAGAAAAGAAAAGTGAAAACATCCAATGTACATACACATAGTCTAGTGAAATCTAAAAAGGTCCCCGTTGGCTTCATGAGGCAGCGTGTTTGGCTGTCAGAGAGCTGTCTTGGTCAGTCTTGAAAGTTGAGGGGTTCCTGGGCAGCGAGGTGACCTCCACCATGCCCAGCCCAGTGTGAGGGACACTAGTGTTCATAATGTGTCTCTGTAAGTGTTTAATCCAGTCCTCCTGCACCGACAAGGGACCCTGGAAGACGAGGTCACAGAACCTGCAGAGATCAAACATTGATAAAAAGATCATTAGATATTACACAGCTTAGATGAACACTGAATTCTGATCTGGTCCTTTTGGAAATTCTGCGGTCAAATCTTTCTCGATAGTAGACTGCTGGTAAGGATAGCAGAATTTTGCTAAGGACGCTCTGTTCAAGGGACAATGTGCCACAGAAAGATGTCCAGACAATTTTACGCCGGTAAACAAACACATTAGTTTCCCGTTTTTGGATATTAATTTTGTATCCATATTGGCTAAACTGTCACCAGTCCAAAAAGAAGAAAAAAGGAACAATAAAAATGGGACTTAGATAGTTACAGAAAACCTTGACCAGTACTGCCGTTATTTCAAGTTGCATTGCTGTCGCCACAGTTCCAGCCGTTGCTTCACTGAAGAATTACTATTTTTTCTTAGCTGAAGCAATACAATAATCTAATACGATCAATAACCTTACAGGATAATGTAAAACCCCTCTTTGGAGTACATTCTTCACAATAATTGTTTTAGAACTGAAAGGTCTCCTATTATACTATTTTTAGGCATATATTATGGGTCTCAGATATAAAAAAATATATAAAAAACATGTCTATGATGTGTTTTGCTCAAAAATACCAAACAGATCATGCATTTTAGACATCCCTCATATCCCTCTGTTTCAGCCCTGTTAGAGAACTGCTGATTCGAGGAGGGGGAGTTAATGCCTGCTCAGAATTCTACGGAGATACATCTAAATGCTCCCGTGATTAAATACCATCATGTTCCAAACCACATCAAAGATTATTTCTGAAACAGTATGGAGCTCAAATGCTTTTGTTCTTGCGAGTTTACCACAAGGTGAGTTAATTTTTTTATTTCCTGCTTTTTAACACATACTGGCCGTTTCTCAATGTCCAGTATACCTGCTGCAGAGCCACTATTTCAAGTATACTACGTCAGAGAGTGGTGCCGAATGCTTGCGAATGTAAACAAAGACCATATTACGTCACACATATTTATGTATAAAAGACATAAAAAAGTGAATTTTGCAGGATAGGTCCCCTTTAAAGAAAATGGCTGGCAACAGAAGCAAACAGACCACAAAAATATTTTGACAGCGGTCCAACCCACTGTTGGATTGCAAACACGATGATGTACGCTATTAAAACATAATATCCAATATTATAAACTATATACAAAAATTACCTGCAGGTGAGTCTGTACATTTCCTCTGGAGTTTGTGGTAAGGGCAGTAGCTTCTTCTTTGAGCCAGGCCTTGAGCGGTACCTCCTTGCTTTACAGTCAAATGCTGGGAGACAGAACAAACTTTATTAATGATCAGCACTAGCCTTGCAAATTCAATACCCAGATTGGATGTGTGGACATCATTAGCTCTATCTTTATTCATCATTAATATTCTGGCTCTGTGTCTCAACAGTATTGGCCAATCCAGTGTCGCTAGGACCAAGAGCCTAGCATATAAGTGTAATTATCTGTGCCTGCAGGAAAAGTAGGCCCTGAAGGCTTTGCCTCAAAAAGGTTGTTCCTCCAATGGATGCACCCATGAAGCTCCACAATTAAAATCATTGCAATATTTTACTTGCTGATGCCATTCTGGATCTTTATCTTGGGGAGGACACAAATAACCACCGGTACACTCATTACAACTATGATGTGGTCCTCACAACCTCTTGTGGTATCCGGCACTACAGACAGTTTTGGCTTCATCTGCTGAGAGTTTGAGTTATCTGTCAGAGATGTCAACTGACATAACAATACAGTGAAGGTGAATAGATTTCATTTGTCAGGTTACATTGAACACATTTCTGCCAGTGGATCCTTGCTCTTTCACTTATTGACATTTGGTGTTAGAGTAAAAAGAAGACTGCTAGCTAGACAATATGGTTAGAAACACTAAAAAAAATTAACATTTTAGAAAATAGTTTTAAGAGGAAGGATTAGGTTTAAACAATAGAAATGATGTGCTTTGCTGAGAAAAAGTTAATGTTAGCATAACTGTTTGTTTAACTAAAATCTCAAAAGGTTATCATTAAAAAAGTTGATCTAATGTAGCATTCTACGATCTCAAATGACTAACTTGTGCTCTAAAAATGGCTGTTCATTATGTCTTCAACTTAAACTGTTGCTGATGGCACTTACCGGTTCCGTCAAGTACGGCATTCCTTTTTCGTTTTGCATATGCCCGCAGGTGATTAGACAAGCTAACACCACTGTGGAAAGTTGCATTGCAATGGACACACATCTTCCTATTGAATTCACCTTTCTCTGTAAAAAGACAAAAAATACAAAGACAAACAAATAAGTTGAAGTATAACATGGTCATGCTGATTTGTTAGATGTATTGAATCTAAATCCAATCATGTAAGGTTCATAAAATGTATAAAATCTGTCCTATCCTATTGTTAAAAACCCTGCATGCATAATTACTGCTATTAAAGTTTTGATACAGAAATAATGAGATTATTTTACATTATTATATGCAGAATGCTCCTCAGTTTTGGCCACAAAATCAGAAGGACTTTTGGCAATGTCATTTTAAGCCTTTATGCTGATGACACCACACTTTAACAACACTTTCAATCATTTGTTTCTCATATATTTGCATTAAACAACTGCAAACTTCATTTGAAATGGGTCAATTTGCATTTGGTTTGCCTCTAACAAGCCATCAAAAGCTAAGACAGGATTCTTTTTCCAATAGCTTATTTCTCTTAAATGTACAAGTGAGGTTATACTTTTAATTAATTGAACTTTACTTGATATTATCATATCAGAGATATTGATATATAAATAGGATTACAGGATTATAGACAATTCTAAATTAATCAAAAAACATCAATGCCCCAGTATATAACCTATTGGTTAGTAATTTAAGGAATTGACTTACCGCATATTGAATTTGGCAGTGAAGATGCAACTCTTGATCCTGGACAGTGCTCACTGTTTGAAGAAAGTAACACGTTTCTTGCCATCTGAAGGGACCCCTTTATTTTGCCGTCCTCCTGACACTTCCTCTTCTTCAGAATTCCTATCAAAGCAGTTGTGCCGGAGAGTGAATTTTTAACATCCAACTTAGTCTCTGGTTGCCCTTGTTCCGATTCTATTCCCGCCAAAGAAAGCGGGGATATCAATGGTGTGGAATCAGTGCAAACGCCGGGGCATCCAATGGGCGGTGGCGTGAAACGGTCAAAACTGGAAAGCTTTGGGGAAGTACCGTATTGAAAATGGTTCCTTTTCTTTCCCACAATTTGGAGGGCCCGCTGGAACTCCTTTTTGTCCCGCATCAACTCGCGGAGTAAACATAACGGGGATTTGTTCTTTGTTGCAAAGCTTTTACCAAGCTTTTTGAGGTGGCCTCTTATGTGGTTGGACTGACCAGTCCTGTTATCAAATGAGTCCCCACATAAAGGACAGGAGTGAATGCTCTTCACAGTCTCAGATTCAGACTCCTGTTGCTGTAACGCTGAAAAAAGATAAAAGAAAAATCAGAAACATAAACATTTTGTAATAAAATTACAAAAAGAAACAGTTTCCAACGTAAAATAGAAAACCAAAGTTTAAACCTAGTTTAAAACTGAGGTTTTACTTTGGTTGGCCAGCTTATTTATTCTATCAGTTGCGAGAACTGAAATCTTGGACGTGCCAAGGTGGCTTAAAGGTTTTCCAATGGGGGAACACAACCAGGCTGATAAAAAACAGTTTTTTTCCAGAATAGTTCAAACCAAAGAAGACTGCCAAATAATGTCTCTAATAATCTTTAATTTCAATGAACAACCAAAGTGTGCACGACTATGCTTACAACGATGCATGCTACTCTGTAAGGTTGTTCCACAAATTCGCAAGATTGACATAAAGTAATAATCGTACTAGTGTTATATAATAAAAAATAGCACCAATGGCCAAAGTCCCAAAAATATAAGCAAAGTTCAAATAGAAGAACATGCAATAAGTGCATAGTTACCTTTTTTCAGTCTCTGGTATGCTGACATCTTCCG